GAGTTGGTTTGTCTCTACAGTAGCTAGTAGGTGGGTTGTCACTACAGCAGCTAGTAGGTGGGTTGTCACTACAGTAGCTAGTAGGTGGGTTGTCACTACAGTAGCTAGTAGGTGGGTTGTCACTACAGCAGCTAGTAGGTGGGTTGTCACTACAGTAGCTAGTAGGTGGGTTGTCACTACAGTAGCTAGTAGGTGGGTTGTCACTACAGTAGCTAGTAGGTGGGTTGTCACTACAGTAGCTAGTAGGTGGGTTGTCACTACAGTAGCTAGTAGGTGGGTTCCAAACCTGAGCCCGCCGAAGTTTTCAGGCAATGTCTTCCCCTCTATCTCTCAATGAAACACCCTCTCTGGAAGAAAGGCTCTCTGGCCCAAAAAAAAATCTTAAAAAAGTAGATTCCTTTTCAACATTATACTCAAAGGGCCAGTAAATATCACCCCGGGGCCGGATCTGGCCCGTGGGCCGCCAATTGAATGGCCCTGATTTGATGTAATGTAATATCTTTCCCCACAGGTGACCAAAATCTTCCAGAAGAAGAAAACCTCAGTGACTTACAGTTTCAGACAATCGTTCCCTCTGGTGGAGATGCAGGTGCACATGTTCCAGAACTCATGTGAGAAACGTTCTCCTTTTACTTTCCTACTTTTACTTACCCTCTATGACAGGGGTGTCAAACTCAATGTCATGGCGGGCCACATCAGCATTATGGTTGCACTCAAAGGGCCGGTTGTAACTTTAAGACTATATAAATATACATAGATAAATATATCATAAAATAATGTATTATATTACATTATTGCCTCTGCATTGGATTATTATCGGATAATAACTTCATAATTAATAACGTCTGGGCAAATAATTGCAAATAATTTAAAGTCTCTTCAGTGCGCACAAAATGAGATGCATTGTGGGACATGTAGTTTATGGACAACGTGCTTCTGTAAAGCGGCATGTAACCGTATAATAAACTTATTTTATTCTTTGCAAGCTCTTACGGGCCACATCAAGTGAAGTCACATCTTCTGGACATCTTCAAGTCATCATTAAAAACTCACCTGTTCACCATGCCCTTTGACCCCTAACCCATCACAGTCCCCCTGCTTCCACTCCTACTGCTTTATTTAATTTTTACTTTTTTATTTGCCCCTTTTGTTTGTTTGTTTGTTTGTTTATTTGTTCACTATGTAAAGCGGCCTTGGGTCCCTTGAAAGGCGCTATACAAATGTCATCTATTATTATTATTATTATTAAGTCACGGGCCAGATTTGGCACGCAGGCCTTGAGTTTGAAACCCCTGCTCTATGATTATTCAGTGTTTTATTCCTCTGTGTTCTCACCCCTCAGACTACCCTCACGGTATCCGCCTCACCACCGCCGTGCTCGAGGGGGAGAGGAAGGTCCTGATCGTGTTCATGGCCCCCAGTCAGCAGGACCGAACCCGCTTTGTGAGCGACCTCAGGGAGAGCATCGCTGAAGTGCAGGAGATGGAGAAATACAGGGTGGAATGTGAGTCTGCCCCCTGCTGGCCATCACCGTCAACTACAACCACATTTACTCAGATACTGTATTTAACCACAATTATGACATACTTTTACTTTTCTTGATTATTTTATGCCACTACATTTTAGAGGCAAATATTGCAGATTTTACTTTACTATAATTATTTCACACTTATAGTTAATTCCCCTTTATCCCTCAGAAACTAGGCAATTTAGAAAATAAATTGAGTATTAATGCTTAAAAAAAGTTGTCCTGCTTTGTAGGATTATTATAAATGAATAGCAACATTAATCCCCTTTTGTAAAACTTACTTTGCAAGTTGTGAATCTATTCAAAATCTTAGAAAATAAGACTGTTTAATTTTGCATGAATTGATTTCTTTCCCCAAAACCAATCCAGTAATATAAATACAAATATGTAAGTATTTAAAATTGCCTCATAAACTAAAACATTAGAACATAGTTGCATACATATTTGTGAGAAACAGAATAATATAATATTGTAAAATATCACTTTTAAATGTGCGTGTGTCAGTATCGCTGCTAAAACTTTTACTTAAGTAAACTTGATTTATTTTACTTTTAAATTAGGTATTTTTTAGACTGGTATTTATGCTTTAACTTAAGTAAAAGTTATTCTTTGACCATTGACTATAACTTGCTGTAAGTGGGCGTGATGCCCCTATAGATATCATTAAAGCATATCTTTATCAAGAGATGGAGTTCTGGTTTTACTGCTTTAAATTATTCTCCCTAGCATGTCTCGCACTGATTATAAATTCGCCCCGTGCCCTTTGCGTTTCTTCACAGCGGAGTTGGAGAAACAGAAAGGTGTGATGCGGCCCAGCCTGCTCACAGGAGGTGTGAGTGGGAAGAGCGATCTTGTGAACGGCACCCTGGGGAGGAACAGTTTTGATGACTCAGTGGGTGATGGTCTCAAACGCACCGCGCTCAGCTCATCTCTCAGGGACCTATCGGACGCAGGTGAGGAAACAGAACCCCAGAGACACAGTTGATATGTGTTTGAAGGCCGACGAGAAGTTAGCATCTCTTTGGTTCCCCTTTAACAAAAAGACAACAGGATTTTTCATATGGCTTTTTGTTTATTGCAGAAAATAAGATCTGTGGCAAAGAAACGTTTATGAATCTTACACGTTTTGCTCAGCAGGATAATCTCTACATATTAACACCACTTGGTGATTTTTGTAAAGTAAAAAGCAATAATAGGCTATAAGGGAACTACAGCACGGTCACATGACTTCTCATCACCATCGCTAAGCTAAAGGTGGCTAATGTTGGGCTATAAAGGAACTACAGCACGGTCACATGACTTCTCGTCACCACCGCTAAGCTAAAGGTGGCTAATGTGTGGGCTATAAAGGAACTACAGCACGGTCACATGACTTCACGTCACCATCGCTAAGCTAAAGGTGGCTAATGTTGGGCTATAAAGGAACTACAGCACGGTCACATGACTTCACGTCACCACCGCTAAGCTAAAGGAGGCTAATGTTAGGGCATGATGTTGTTAGTCGTCTCATTTAGACACTTGTTAGCAACCGCCAATTTTTACATTGACCAGCCGGGTATTTACCGACGTATTTTGTCGTAGTACAAAACTTTAAAATCTCTTAACTACAGACCCTATTTCAGGCTAACAAACAAAAACAAGTTCAAAATACCATTGATTTCAAGACAAGTGAACCAGGAAGTGCAAACATGCTAATTCATTTCCTGTTTTAGGACTCATTCCTGAACCACTCTATTGAGTAGCTTCCAAAATGATTTTATTTCTATCTCTATTTCTGCATCCTGTTTCTTTTTCTCACTGACATTCACACACAGCTTTTGCACTTTCTATCTTTTTTCTGTGAACACATTTTCCAATCTTTGCCCTTTGCTAACTTTCCTCTTCCTGGTGGGGCTGCAGGGAAACGTGGTCGCAGGAACAGTGTTGGTTCTCTGGACAGTACCATGGAAGTAAGTCTGAGAGACTCGATGTTCACCTGTAACCTCGGCCTGTCACCATAAGTATTTTATCGATGTCTCCTACTATATACAAACATGGCCTCGATCATTTTTACGTAATCGACTAATCGTACAAAATACGGAAATTACCTATATTATTTTACTATATTTAATTATTGTACGATTAGCATTTGTACATTATCTTCTTACAGTATTTTTTCAAACGTGTCTTAAAATCACAATCTGGAATGCAGTTTGGGAATATATCGTCAGACAAAATGAGTTATCGTGACAGGCCTACTCTAACCTTTAAAAGGCCCTCATCTCCCCGTCGTGGTGCGTCATTGTCCCTCAATGTGCGTATAGTGTGCAAACATTATTAAAGATGGCGTCTGTGTGTGTTTGTGTGTGTAGATGCATGCTTGTTTCCTCTTGTTTCTGACCTGCACTGACACCCTTTAACATGGCTCTGTGTTCATTCTAAGTAATGTTACAATTATTTGTTCAACATTTTTCTTGCATAGATATATAATGTGTTTTTACTTTACTTTTAACAAACAATGACCACTTCACCAGTCATTTATAATCCCATTAAACATTATTAGAAGATTCTAATGAATTGTAGTAATAGGAATATCGACGAGTAATGTGTTACTTCTTTTGTTTGAAAGCTATATGAATATTTATAAGTGTAATTATACAGCGCTATTAGCAAGACAAGGCAATTCAAAGTGCTTTAAAAAAATGAAAGACATTAAGAAAATGGCATTTAAAACAGTCATTAAAAAGCTAATGAAATAAACATTAAAAGAATAATAAGTGCAGTGTAAGATATGAATAGTTCAATTAAAAGCAGCGGCAAAAAGAAAAGTCTTCAGCCTGGATTTAAACGCAGTCAGAGTTGCAGCGGACCGGAAGGTTTCTGGGAGTTTGTTCCAGATATTTGGAGCATAATAACTGAACGCTGCGTCTCCATGTTTAGCAAATAATGATGCATTTTAAGTTTGTTTATAACACATTATATGACCGGAATCTTAACCGCAAATAATCTTTAACAATCTCAGTGATTTTTCTGAAACATAAGTTGGTTTCCCCCCTCCAGGGTTCCATCATTAGCAGCCCGGTGCCTCACCAGCGCTACCAGCTGCCCGGCTGCTACGCCACAGAAGACTTCCGGCCTCACCGCCCTATCCTGAGCCCCGGATCGGGGGTGGGGGGTGGGCCGGGGCAGCAACACACCACTGCTGGGACAGGAGTTGGGGGGGGAGTCTCCAGCAGTGTAGAGAGAGCAGGAGCGGGGGGGAGCGGTCCTGGGGGGGGAATCATCAGCAGCAGCAGCAACAACAACAGCAGCAGCGGCTCCTTCCTGGGATCTCTCTTCGGCAGCAAACGTGCCAAACCACCTGGGCCCCTCATTCCACCGGGGCCACCGTACCCCGCTCCTGTCCCCCCGCCGACTACGGGAGGGCCCCCTCCTCACTCCCCATCCTCGCTGTGCCAGATGGATGGGGGGGGCCCTTCCAAGATCCAGGCGCTGCACGCTCAGTACTGTCACCTGGGTGGCGTGCAGCCCCCCCCACCGTACTACCATCACCATCGCTTCCATGTGCAGACTGTCCCCCCGCCCCTGCAAGGCGTCCCCCCCCACGCTATGCAGAGAGGCCCGCTACACTGTCGTCCGCCGCTTGGAGCCCACCCGCCGCTGGCCCATCTCTCCCAGCTCTCCCAGCATGGGCTACCGGGTCGTTACGGCAACATGGTAGTGGGGTGTCCCCCCCCCCTTTCTCCTCTCTCCCAACACTCCCCGAACCCTCAGTTTACTCTGTACCACTCCATCAGAGGGGGGGGCCTGCCTGGTACCAAACTCCCCCTCACCTTGTCCCACTCCCACCCCCACCCCCACGCTCACTCCCAAACCCACCCCGGACACGTGCACACGCCCCACCCGGCCTCCCACTCCGTCCACCAAACACACTTCATCTTCGGCACTCTGCCCCACAACCTGCCGTCCGCCTCCGTCAACGCTGCGCATCACGCGGCGAGCGCCGGCCCGTATCTGCCCCAGTACCCTGCTCTTTCTTCTATGCCAACCTCCCCACCAACATTTCCCTTTACCAACCCCCTTTTGTCCCCCCTTACCGCCCTTACACCTCTCTTCCCTTTGTCCCCCCTTACCCCTCTTACACCTCTCTCCCCTCTCCCCCCCCAGCACCCCGGGCTGCCTCAGCAGGGGCCGCAGGTGACGGGGGCCGGAGCGACAGGTACAGGGGGCAGCTCCAAATCCAAACCCCTCAACCGGATAAGCACCGTGGTGTGAGCAGGGCGTGGGGCCCCAGGGGTCAGAGGTCAGATTACAGGGGGGAGGAGGTGGGCAGGTCCAGGTCCAGGACCAAGTCAGCCCGCACGGAGAGCAGCAGCAGCGCCAGCGACAAGAGGAAACGCAGCTTGCTTCGTCTCTGTTACTTTCACCTCCGCTTCCCACACATGTAGGCGGAGATACAGAGCACAGCTAGAGCGGAGGAGCATGTGCACACGTCTTTGAAACCTGCACACACACATATATGAATAAATATTTAAAAGAGTTATATAGCCATATAATTTAAGATGAATCTATATCTAGATATATTTATCGCCTCAATTGTAAACGTCTAGTTGAGTCTGTTTGAGACTATTTACATGTACAGTACGGAGATGTGGGGAAAAAACCATCATATATCCAGCTTTTTACACAGGGATGTAAATAACGACATTCCAGCGGAGTTTGGGATTTAAAAACAGAAGAAAGTTGCTAAAAAAAATCAATGTCCCTTGACTTTGCAATAATTTACTTGGCTTCATGATGTCTTTGTCAACTTTTGAAAGTTCTGCTTTGCTGAGAGGCATCTTTTTTTTTTTAAAGAAGACCAGAGATTTGTTGCTTTGTCTTAAAGCCAGTGCACGGTTTCCTGAAGGTCTTTTTGCTTAATGTACTTTTACATGTCAACAGGAGCCACCTGGCTTCATAACGGGGTCTGGGAAATACAATCAATAATATATTTTGAATGTTTCTGAAGCTTCTTGCCGTTTTATTGATATTATAATATACCTGCTACGAGTATGATGAATATTGTACACTAATTGTTTTGATCAGTGATTAATTATATCAGCAGATGTTTGTACATGGTTATAGAGAGTATATGCACATATGAATTCCCTCAGTTTGCCATGACTTCTCGAGGGTGTTGCGATATGTGAAGTGTGATTTATTTCCATTGTACCACGCTTTCCATTCGCCTTTTTAATTATTAGTATTATTGGTTGTGGAAAATGAATGAGGTTTAGTTTTGTTTAAAATGTTAACACCAACAAGCAATTTTTCTCAAATGAGTTGACCCCGGGGCGGGACATCTCTAAGCGGTTGACCAATCAAAACAGAGCCGGCCAGCTAACCAATCAGAGCAGACTGGGCTCTGGTTTCAGACAGAGGGTGAAAATAGGTGCTGCAGCACAGGCAGAGCTTTTTGAACATTAAAGCATGGAGACATGTCCCAGTAGAGACACTACATACTGATATACACCTGAACATCAGCAGAATAGGGCCCCTTTAAAAGATAGATCTGAGTTATTGTTGAATTTTTTATTTAAATATTTATGAAGAAAAAAAGCTTTTGTGGAAATTGGAAAGACTCCCTCGACGCTTACTTCTTCGCCATCATCAGATTTAGCCATTGTGTGTTTTCTATGTTTTGAAGAAGCACGCTTTTACATGAGGTTTTGTGGTTTTGCACACGTGATGTCTTAAGTCAGAAATGGCCTTCTTCTGATCCTCCCTCTTCTGCCACTTTTAGAAAATTCTCTTAATACATTTTTTGATGCTCTAGCATCCCACTGAGGGCTTCTTGTTTAAACAACAACAAGAGTCAAGAATGTAAAATAGCCTGCAGGTACTTGATGTATTCCCCTTTTTTCTGTGGGCCTTGTGTAACTGTCACCCCTTTTTGCTACTGCAGTTTTGAAGGATGCTTTGAGCACTGATGTTGTTTACCTTCAGTGCCATTGATTACTAAGGGAACACATAGTATTCCGAATAAGTGGAGAAAGTAAGGGGTTAACTTCTGAAAGAGATGGCAACGTTTAAGAAGATCTAAATCAAAAAGGATTTTTAGGAGGTTTGGAGTTAAGGATGTCAGATGAAGATTTTATATGTGTTGGCTAGCCTTTTCTTTTTAATGTGTCTTTTTTCTTGCATGAATATATCTGCACTTATTGAATAGATTGTACTGTATAAATCTGAATGTACATATTATACTATACATAGGCTTATGGGATGAACTATTCAGGTGCGTGCATGTGAGTGCCACTACGTGTGTACATACAGGAGAAAAGACAGGGAGACGTTGGCCATACGGAAAATATCAACTTTTTTTAATTTTCTTATTATTTCCGACTGAAGGTGAAAGAATGAATTACCTTGATATAAATTAAAGCCTAAAAAAAGTTTCTATGTCAGTGCACTTATTGATATCATTTAAAACAAATGATTTCAATTTTTTCTTTGTGTATGTATTATGTGAACTGAAGGAATAGAGATTTGAGATGTGAATATTTATTGCTAAATTAAAGTGTCCTTGCAGTGAATTGGTCTCTGTGTGCTTTTTACAAAACTCAACATCTGCTTCCACCATTACATCACTATACATAAAGAACTCTTACATCAGTTAACCACGAGACTTATGGAACATTACATATATATAATTAGAAGCAGGCTACTTTATCGACAAATAAAGTGATATGATCATTTGTCTTCATTACAATTGCAAATGTTGCATTGTTACGGCCACAGCATTAAAAACATCCGTTGTGGCTCAGGTTGTGAACATAGACACCGAACAATATGCTTTTATTGAACATCTTTTCAAACTAACTTAACGGGTACAAGTCTGGAGGATGGGCCAAAAGGAACAAAAGATGGAGGCCAGCCAGCCACACCCCTACACTAAAATAAATACATAAGCTGAACTCAGAAAAAAAAAAACACGAAGCTGGGGTAACAGGTCCTCCACCTAAGCTAAGGGCTGCTACACTAAAAGGCAGCAGCGTCCAACCGAGTCAGAGAGGCTGCAGAGCAGATCAGGTGCACCTTCGAAGTGAGGAGAGAGAGAACAAAAGGGGGACCGAGCAACATGACAGATAGACAAACATCCAGTCGCATCTCTATTAAATGATGCAAATGTCATAAATAAGCTACATTGAACTCCACAGTCTTCCACAATACAATAGGAAAAAACATAATTTAATATATAAATTTTTATTTTTTTTAAATAAAGGGATTTAATTTGTATTAATATATATATAATAATATATTATATAGCTCGCCTGAAGTTCTAGTTCTTCTTCTTCTTCTTCTTCTTCTTCTTCTTCTTCTTCTTCTTCTTCTTCGGCGGATTGCAAAGAACTTTAAGGTGCATACCGCCACCTCCGGAGTCGGCTTGACTCGGTTTGCATTTATAAAGAATGCACACGTGTTTAATCGTTAATGTCAGATATGTACTAAGTAAATACATTTGTTCCTGCTCAAGATTAGATTCAACTTTATTGTTATTGCACAGATTACAGGTACTGAGACAACGAAATGCAGTTTAGCTTCCAACCAGGAGTGCAACAAGCAGTAAAGTGAAAAGTAATGTACACAATCTACAGAATAACATATAGAATGAATTGAATGATGAATAAACAGTGAGGGGTATGAATACACACAGCAGCCTGTGAGCAGTATGAACAGTGTGTATGAATATGCTAAGATATATAAAGTATGAAAACGGTAAGCAGTGCAAGTATAGTATAACATATATAGATATTAATTTCATGATGATAAACATTGTGGAACAATGATGAAAAATGTGACTGGAGGGGGCGACGTAAAACTGACACAAAACAACAACAAACTTTTGCCGAGCCAATTGGAGAGTTTCATCACCAGCACGTGGTAAAAACCACCAATGGGTGCTCAGCTCGATATACCAGCGAGTCGTTTCCCACCAAGTATTTCGCTTCCGCAGCCCGTGGAGAGGAACTGCGCCGCCTCGCCGCGCCTCGCTCTCAAGGCTGCGGGCGTCTTTGTCCCGCGAGATTTCAACCTCTCATGTAGGCGAGCCTCCAGAGCAAGTCGGACAAAATGACTAACCATCATGCAACGCACTAACAAGACGTTGATCGAAATTGCGCAGGTCTGCGCAGGTCTTGCTTGTCTCAAACAAGCCTTCAATCAATCAATCAATCAATGTTTATTTATATAGCCCAATATCACAAATGTTACATTTGTCTCAGTGGACTTCACAGTTTGTACAGAATATCAGTATGACAATACGACACCCTCT